TAAGATAAACACTAAAAACCAATAAAGAAAACTACAATTTGACAGATCATAAGTCATGAAAAGACAAAAAAAGATGGGTTTTAGAATGAAATTTCAACTGCTTACCCTCTTTGTTGTCCAGAAACTCAGATTAAGGTTGAATTAATACATGTATATATATATATATATATATATATTTCAAAAAAACCCAAAAACATATTATACAGTGTAATTTAGACAGCCTAATCCCAAAATATATAGTATATATATAAATAAATAACTATAAAAGTATAAATCGTAAATGTGAAAAATATTTTTTCACAGTATATATAACATATAATAATATAATTAAGTAAAAAACTATTCAATATTGGATTCATTTCGAAGGTACTAACGAGACGATTATAATGGTGTAACTTGTTAATATAAAAATATATTTTTTAAACAAGTTTTAATTGATATACGATTATGTATATTAATTTGATAAATGTTTAAAATGAAACATTTAAAAGTAAATGACGTAAAGTAAATTAATTAACTAATTATAGGGGTATAAAGTGTAAATTTAGAATTATAATTTAAAAAAAATCGGTTGTGAGAGGGTGAGTGTAGATGAGGAGATGAGAGGGTGAAAAAGTGAAAAAATGATATAAAGAGTATCTTGGTCATTTAGTATTTTAAGACTTTAAGATTTTTATTAAATTTACTTTATAAGATAGTATATATATATATATATATATATATATATATTATAATCCTCAACATTATCCAAAACAAAAGATTGTTACATCTTTATAAAACAATGCATTTTAAGGTAATTTGTACATCAAGTTAAACCTTTTTGTGTAGGACATGATGTGTAATGTGGTAATAATTGATTATTAAATATTTAATTGTTTATTTAATTTTAATAGTAAAATAACATATCTTATTTATAATTTTATTATATCATTAAATAATATATAAAATATTATTAATTAATTACCGATAATATTGTACTTCACATAAACCATTCATAATTCTTTATTATTTGTTAAGGTTCTTAGAATATTGACTTATTTTTGTACTCGATAATGATATAAACGTTTTAATTGCGGGTCCATACTTCTTTTGTAAGACGCGGAATCTTAATCGTTGGGAAAAAAATTAGAAATTATTATTAATTTTTTATTTTCATTAGCATCATTTATTATTAAAAATTTACTTGTTCACCCTTTTGCCATTTAGTGTAACTTTATTATTTGACGATAATAACATACATTTTGTTTATTATTGTCGTTAATCAATATGTTTTAAGTTTAATCATGTGGATGTTATCGGTTTTTAAATACATCAAACTTTTTTAATATAAAAGTTGATTCATGACCTTCTTCAGGTTTCAGTGACCTCAGTTGGTAGAGGATTACAAATTTGTATGTCAGATGAGACGGGAAGGTCGAGTTCGACTTGTCGAAAAAAATGGTACAGAAGTTGATCGATGACCTTATTTAGATTTAAATAACCTCGATGAAAAGAGGATTATGACTTGCATGTTAGGTAAAATGGAAAGATGGAATTCAAATGTTGTGACTTCGGACTATCTACAAAGCATGTGGTCGTACTGGGATTAATCGGCTCACATAACGAATTGAATATCCAGGTTAATAAAAAAAAAGATAAAATTCATATTAGTTGAAAATATTGAACCTACATATATTCCATATCTATATGGATTTGTAAACCTAGAAAGAGGTGATGGATTTGGAAACCTAGAAAGAAGTTGAAGTTGGAAGATCCTTTTTGATAACATTTTAATTAGTACTTAGATGTAAATGATGTGTCAAAATAAATGTTATATTTTTCTATCAAGAAAATAAGATTTTTTTTTCTTTCTTTCTAATTTTAGGAAGAAAATCTACGTTATTCAATGTCAAATGTTAGCCTCAATTATTTGATTTTAGTATAATTTATTTACATAAATAATGGAAGTTTGACTTTAACAGTTGTAATGTGAAAATCAAATCGAGTTCTTTTTGTGGGCATTAATCTTTTAAACCAATGATCTAGCATACTATTATATAACTAATTTATCTTTCACACGATTCAATTAAATCAAAACAATATGATTCAAATTGCACTAGTTAGTGTACCGACAAAACATACCATGGTTTTAGTTTTGACTATTCCTTTTAAGAACTATTCACAAAGTATTAAGTTTTCAGTTGAATTATAGAATTGGATGGGATTTGAACCTATTTAAAAAGATGGTTGGTATTTTATAGAATTTCGTAAAATTTGTATATAATAATCAATTAATAAATATTTTTTTATAAAATTCAAATACCTCAAAATCATTCCATCCAAACGTAAAAAGGAATACGTAAGTATGAAAGTGAGAGTAACTAATAGTAATTAAAAAAAAGTAGTTTGTTTGGATAGTTGACTTTAAATAGAGTTGGTATTGAATACAAAATCTTTAGGTATTGACCAAGCGAGGATGGCGATAAGACAAGGGGAATAAACTCTATTCCGAACATATTTCACTCACCTTTCATCCTACCCTATCACATCATTATCCCTCTTTTTCTACTCTCTCCATCATTTTCATTTTTCATTTTTATTTTTATTTTTATTTTTATTTTTAATTTTATTTTTTACCTCTTTAAATTAAGAGCTTAACGTAAACATTTAATGGTAGTTTTTATTTATATATATTTGTTAATACTAATAATAAATATAAAGTCAATAAAATATAAAAAAAAAGCATTTGATGTCAATTTTAAAATAAGATCGTACTTGTGGTAAAGTCAACAATTATTTATCCAAATATGATGTAAGATGAAAGAAAAGGGGTTTAAAAATGGATGTTGTTTTGATGATGACATCATAAATATTTTAATAATAAAAGAAAGTGAAAAAGAGGAGGGTAGGAATGGAAAAAGAGCAATTGGTGCAGGACGGCAAGAGGAAGAAAAGCGAAACAGGTGCTCAACATTCTCCTACACCGAATTGTCTTTTCCTTAGCCCCCTGTACTTCTCATTATTACTTTTTTACCCTATCGATTTAATTCCCGTAACAACCCTTCACACTCTATAATTAATTGTTTTTTAAACATATTTTTATTTATACAAGTAAATTAAATTATATTTTAAAAAATACGAGCGAGAGAAGGAGTGTAGGAAAATTATTCCCCTGCTTCTTAGTACGCAATTATAGCATGGTGTCAGTCAGTCACAGTCACAACCAACAAAAGCCCCCTTACGTCAAAACCCCTCTTTCTTTTCCATTTATATATATATATATATATATATATATATATATTTTTTTTTTTTTAATTTTAAATTCGATTTAAATATACTAAAGAATTGTTTGACAGTTATTGAATTATTTGATTCAAAATAATTAAGTATTTATAATATTAAGAGACTTTTATGATATAGTGTAAAATGAAATATAGTTTTTTAATAATGAAATTAGGGTGTTTAATGGTTAAAGAAGACCTATAATACAAAAGCATTCAAAGGGTTTTTAAAAATTGAAGAAAATTTCTTTAACAGTTATGTTATATTTAAAAAAAAAAATAAAGAAAATAGAGAAAATATACGACACCTATTGAAGATGCTATTATATATGTAATGGGGTTTTGATATTCAAGAATTTAGACCTTGATTGTTGAATGATATCATGATAAGATAAGTCAACTATGAACATGAAATAAATTCATTTTTGAATGAAATCAAATAAAACATGGTGAAAAATCTAAATTCAGAGGCAGGAGGTGTGGTTTATTTTTTTTGATGGGGTTTTGTTATCATGACGAGGTTGGCGTATTGTATCATCACTATGCCTACGATTCTAGAGAGAGAAGATTACAGGGTCAAAGCAGCAGCAGCAGAAGAAAAGCTTGCTTTTTTAGCAAGTTATAATACCCGATTGAATTTGTAAAAGCCTGAGGAGAAGAAGAGAACCAGATCACAATACAATCCTCGTGATCATAATTTTCTTTTACAGAGGGTAATATTTTCACCCATTCTCATCCCATCCGACCCGACCCGACCCGACCCGATCCGATCATACAAACCAATCTGTTACGAGTATTATTTACCACCCCTCTCTCTCCTACGGTTTGAACGATACTAGCAAAGAGAAAGATAACATCTTTTTTCCTTTTGAATGATTCTTGAACAACACCAATCTGTTAAAATTTGGTAGACCAGCAAATTTTAGCAACACCCATCTCCTTTCTTTAGATAATATATATATACGTATATATATATATATATAGAGAGAGAGAGAGAGAGGTATGGGAGGTTGTGAGAGGAATGGAACAGTGAGGCAATACATAAGATCAAAAGTGCCAAGACTCAGATGGACTCCTGATCTTCACCGCTGTTTTGTTCATGCCATTCACACACTTGGTGGCCCTCATAGTATGTTCTTTATTCTATTCTTCATGATCATAAACAGAAGATCATATATAATACTCACGCACAGACACACTTTGTTACTTTTGTAATGATGTTGTGCATGTATATGCAGAAGCAACACCAAAGCTTGTTCTTCAGATGATGGATGTAAAGGGACTCACTATTTCCCATGTTAAAAGTCATCTTCAGGTACTACCATATTCATCATTTTTCCCTTTTTTGATTTCTTTATGAATATAAACACCTGATTCAAGGTATAAAAATGGAACTTGCAGATGTATAGAAGCATGAAGGGTGATGTTAATAACCAAGGTATGCATCTCTCTTCCTTTACCCACCTAAAAATCCTCTAAGCAGCCATGGACAACATCCATCCATGACGCAAACCAAGATGGTGCCTGCTAAAAATGGATCAGGCCAAAGGCCACTGGTTCATCTGGAGCATAACTCCTGATGTTCATGCTTTACTATTTGTGGGGGAAAAAGCATGCTATTATTTATGATTTTGTTTCCAAAACTGTAGTTCTTTTTAACAAAAATAGAGGAAAAACAAATGAAGAACAAACCCTCTTGCCTACCTTCTAATTGTGGCATTTAAATATGAAGAATTCCAGACATTCCTTTCCTCATATCTAATTAGTTAAAGTTGTGATTGGTGTTTTGAATGAATCTGCAAGAAATCCATGTTAAAGTAATGACTTTTTTTATTCCCTTATTTTAAGTTAGTCAAAACACACACTCAAACACACATTCTTGAAAGAGAAAAATGCCTTTTGCTTTGACACCTTGTTGTCTCTTTCTGTTTGTTTCCTTGTGTTTTTCCACTTATGCTGCGAATTTAATCATGGTCATGTCTCATGAACTTTCATTTTCTAGATGATGAGGCTCACAAATCTGGTGGACTACAAAAACGGTCTATTGAGGATCAACATGATGGGTGCATTGATCATGAGATTTACTTGCACCCATCCATTCAGGAATCTAATCCTCACTTCATTTACGATCCTTTCAGTGTCCCTTGTAAAAGGTTAGCTCATCACTCACTCTAGATACCATCCATCAGACTTATCATACTATAATTTTTTTAATAAACTAATTAGTTATCAAAAAGAAAAAAAGGTGATCATGAGGACAAGTTTTTTGCATTTTGGGTTTTAGTTTAAGATTAATATTAATATTTTATATATTTGTTTTGGTGTATATATATATATATATATATATATAGAGGTAGAATGGAGATAACAGGGATGCATGGATTCTCAGAAAGAAGAATAAAAGGAAAGGAAGGGATTGGTGATCACAAATGGCAGCAGCCTCATTCCTTTTCTATCCCACATTTTCACTTCAATCCCTCCTTTACCCATAAAATAAAATCTGACTTCCTAAAGGTACACACACACACTCTCTCTCTCTCTCTCTATATATATATATATATGTGTATTTATGTATATACTTATATACAAATATCTCTATATGCATGTATATACGTATAAGCGAATGATCGTGTAAGAAAGAGAGTTACTGAACCCTTGATCACTTTTAATCTTATGTCCACCTATGAATTGTGTTTTAGAAAAGAATTGATTCGATGCATCTCGGTGTACGTTATTACTGTTGACATTCAATTAGAATTGATTTAATGTTGGAGATCTTTTTTTACGCTTCTCACATAACTTCCTTTCTCACGGGAACCCAACCCTATTCGTGTATATAGTATGTATATGCATATATGCTAATCTAGATACTTATGTGTGTATATATGATCGTGAGAATATTTGGAATACCCAGGTTACCGGCCAAAAGAACCGTTGTATTAATGAGAAATAGGCGAAGTCTAGTTGATGTGGGACTTTAATAGACTCATCTAATGTAGGTTTGACGGGCAAACATGTCCCAGGTCTGGACTCCCAAACAAAGATGTTCCAAATGATAGACCTTGACTATGATATCATATGAAAATTTGCATAATCTTATTAGAGTCCCACATCAGCTAAATTTATACAATATCTTCTCAATATATGTTGGAACCTCCATTCCATACTCGAAAGAATTTTTCGAAGAGTAAGGATTCCTGATATTTTCACATAATATCACAGCCAAATTCTACTACTCTAGGTACTCTACACTTAAAACTGTTACAATAGGTTTATATGATACTTTATAGTTTGATTCTATAAATCTGAATTATATAAAGTACTATATATTGTGTCCTATAAAACCACCTTTCAATTGATGGAAGGTAAGTTTGACGCCTTAAGCTAAAAATTATGAGTGTAGTCCTAGAAAATACTACGCTTGTTTGAATATATTGTCCGGTACGAAATTAAACAACAATAAACTGAAGTCTTATCCACTAAAAAATAATGTGATTTTACAGTTTTTACAAGACTTAGGGGCTGTTTACCCAAATGCTTACCTGGTAAGCGCTTACTAATAGGACTCAACACTATAATTTATTTAGATGCGTAAGATTTTAGTATATCAAAGCATATCGAATGGAACAATTTACTAGGTAAACGCTTACCTGGGTAAGAGTCGTCATCCTCACTTATCGGGTAAGACTCTCCATCATTCTCATCGCTTTTACCTGGTAAGATTCTTGGCCCTTCTCATGCTTCATCCGATGAGGAAATTTAGGTGTTAAACACTTACCAATTAAGTGTTTAGTAAACAACCCCTTAATCTTTAAGATATATACTGATTAATTAAACTTGTTTTGATACTCTAGCTAAGGGTTTCCACTATCTATACTATATAACAAAACATTTGACAAAAACTCTTAAAAACAATTTTTTATACTTAAAGTAGAATGAACATGAGTACATATTAATTAAAGCTCAATGTTTTAATTCGTGCAAGTAACTGCAGATAAACATAATCAAATACATGATAAACATCATTTAAAAAAAATATATATATATATATATATATATATATATAATGTGTCAAGTACTGCATACACTCGTTGTGTATTGCCAGTCAAGTATATATATAACAGATAAAGATGTACAGAAATCAGAAGATGGTTGTTTGCATACGAAAGACTTAGGCGTTACATGTGTAGTAGGTCAATCAAATTAAAAGAAGAAATTATAGAAGAACATGATCAAATGGTGGTCCATTCTGTATGCAAGCAATTGATTCAATGAGCAGGACAGTACCAGTTATATAGCCAGCAACAGATCTGTCTTATTTTCATTTTCGTGTCCTTCTCATTATCCCTCATCTTTTGACCATTCACTTATTACTGTACAAATTATTAGCAGACGCTATAAATGTGTATTTGAATAAAAAAAAAATAGTCAGAATTATATATTTCCATCAATCTTCTTTTTTGCTGAACTTGAATTTGTTTATGCAGATTTCCAAACTTGAAAACGGTGGATGGTTCGACGGGATGGAACTTGAGAAACCAAGAAATATTGAAGAAGATGTTGACGAGCGTGCAGGTGGGTTGTCGTTGTCGCTTTCGCTGCACCAACCGTTGGTCCAGAGGAGCAGTAATGGTTCGTCGATGAGTGAGATCAGCGAGACACAGTCAAGACATAATTCAATCGATCACTCGTCAAACAAGTGTAGTGTTAATTTAGACCTATCCATTGGTCTATGTTATTGATGTATGCAGGTGGTTTATTATTTCACTAGTTTTAACTATTTGAGGGTTACAACTTATGTAGAGATGTACAAAAGGTTCAGAAGTTTGAAATTCGATAGGTTTGAATGGGCATTGATGGTGACATGGGTTGTCGTTGATTGGTTAGGATTTTTTTTCAGAACTTGGTTTTTAGGAACTATTTTTAAAGTTTAATATATGCTATGCAACTATATAAAATACAAAAAACCATACGGTTACACATTTGACTTAGGGGCCGTTTATCAAACACTTATCCGGTAATGGCTTACCGGTAAAATTTAACACTATTATGTACTTACCGGGTAAGATTTTAGTCCACTAGCTAAAACGACATGGTATACAACAATTTACCCGGTAAGCTCTTACCGTGGTAAGAGTCGTCGCCCTCACTTACCGGGTAAGACTTTTGGTCTTTGTCTCGTTTTTACAGGGTAAGATTCTTGGTCCCTACTATATTCATCTGGTGAGGTAATGTTACTTGGTAAGCTCTTACTCGGGTAAGCGTTTAGTAAACGGCCCCTTAGTTGACATGAAATTCGGCCAAATTGGTTAAAACTTAGAAAATGCTCTGGCCTTTTGTTTTTATTTTTAGAGTAAATTACATTTGTTAGTGTGGTTTGTGATTTGTTTGACTAAGGTCCCTAAAATGTATTTATTACACTCCCAATATCTTTGGTATGCAAAAACGCACGCTCTGAGTCCCTCTCTCTAATGAAAGAAAAAGACTCCGTTAACTTAGTTAACCAAGGGTATTTCAGTCCTTCAGCCTTATTTTTTTGTCTTTTACCACAGACCAAAAACATAATCCCCACTAATATACATTATATACTTTGTTATTATTTTATTCTAATAAACATACTTATATATCTATAAAAATTAGATCAAACCACAGTGCTTAACGTCATCTTCGCATCCATGAACCTCCCTTCCAACGCGCCACCTCCCCAAACCACCTCTAGTCGCCATCGCCACCGATATCTATAACCTCTCTCTACACACACTACCCACACACACAAAGCTGCCTGGACCCGCTTGCAACCCCAGTGAAAGAAAAAGAAGAAAGAGCATCCATTATTTGTATAAAAGTCCCACAAAGAAAAGAAACGGGATTAAACCCACCTGTGCCAGATACATGAAATTGTGTGTGAGATGTGGGTTTAATGTGTGTGTGTGTTGTTATTATGGTTTTGCAAAAATCATCATATTTGGTGATGCGTATATTGATCTCCCTTTTATAATACAATAATACAATAATTAAAGAAATACAAAATAAACTTTCCTAAGCTTGAAGAAGATTTGGAGTAGACATAGATGATGATTTTTGTAATGTTATTAAAAGGTTTATTAAATTATAAATTATTATTAATGTTAATACTTAAACAAATATAAATTAATTATGAATAATTAAAATACGTATGATAATTACAAAAATTATCCCAAGGTTAATTACCAAAATTTTGGGGTTTGTATTTTTAAAAATTACACTAATGGTCATCGGGGTTTGTATCTTATTACAAATTGGATCCTTGACACTAACATTCGTTAGAAGATGTCATTAAGTGCCTTCATGTTTTAGTCATGTTAGGGGTATTTCAGTCATTTTATCAATTTTCTTTATAATTCGTTTTATGTACAAGAATCATAATACACTAAAAGACAAAACAAATAAAAAGCATAACTCTAAAATCTAACTCAACACCCGTCACCTCCATTAATCCGAAAATTAATGAGTACCTTCGTCTCCTCCATGGTTAGCTAATTGTTAGTTTGGATGGAGAGAATCAATTAAACCACGTTATCATCATGGTTTAACCACGTTCAAAACAGACAAGAGATAGATAGAAACCTTATCAACACGAACAACATCAACAACAAATACTTAACAAATTTGTGATAAACAACCATAAATCAAAACCCTAATTTCAGATGTTACTTGTTTCCTATCATAAATCAGAATTGACCTAGGAAAAGAACCGAAAGTAAACTAGAAAAATGCATAATCCTGGAATGGAAATATATCAATAAAATTACATAACTTGTCATTAAATACAACAAAATACTTAATTATATGATGACACGAAAAATGAATTAAGAACGGATACGCATGATTTCTTAGCATGATATCAGTATAGTAAGGATGTTAATTAATCTTAGGCTAAAATTTTCTTCTTGATGCTTCTCATATATTTTGGTTCTCCTATGGGGAAGCATTTAGCTACCTCTATAGGGTTGGAGACTTTCACTTACATAAGAAAACGCACATCAAGATTCTACTCGAGTCTTCTCGTCGATCCAGCAACACGTACATAATTCCATCTATTTACTTTATCTCTACTCTATTTCCTCCTTCTGATTGTCATTTTCTTTTTGCTTCCTTTCTTATTAGCTTCCCTATTGCGAATCCTTGGTCCAACGACCAAGTCGAAAAACACAATCCCTGGAGTGGAGTGGAGTGGAGTGGAGTCCTTTGTCGTCTCCTCAAGTAACACGATGCGAAGCAAAAACACAAATTAGAGAAACATATACAACAAGAATATTAACAATACATAGGGATGTCTTTATATTTAGGCACTTTAGGTTGTCTGGCAATATAAAGTACCAGACACACACAATGGAAATAAGTTTAACATAAGTTAAAAGACCAACAAAGTGGTCTAAAGTTACTAAACTGGAAACCATAAATATTATTTATATAAATATGCACTTGCTTTATTCTTCTACTGATAACTCCCTCTTACTGAAGCCCCTCCCAGACTGTTTCTTCATCCCACACTGTACCCACCAATTATGCTTTAATAGTCATGGTGGTTGTTGCCATCACCAAAACCATAGTAGCCCCCTTGCATATAACTACCACCAACATCATGGTTGAAAATAGCGGATCCAACATCATTGCCATTTACAGGATTCTGGAGCTCATTCGGGATTGTGTTGTATCCAATATTATTTGCTATGCCCAAGTACTTGCTCCCGAAAGCACTATGCTCTTGCGGCATCATAAATCCACCAACGCCACTAGAGGAAGAGCTTATATGGCCTTGAACCATGTTAGATTTGTTGTTTCTAGAAGTGAAGCCAAGTACATCATCATTCAGAAATAGTTGGGGGGTTGAGAGTTGTTCCCTCAAAGTTGCTTTGTACACAACTGATGTCGAATGTAGAGAACTTGAATGATCCAACATTATACCTCCACCTGTAAATGAGTTCGCTCCAGCTTCTTCACTTCCATAAATGCCACCCTCTCCCATAAATGCGATACTGTTAAGATCCAAGTTGTTGTAAGGGTTGGTGTTCATCAGAAGATTTGTGTAAAACCCTGTGCCAAATTTTCCCTGAAGTTGGTTTTGTGGAGTTGGTGATGGAGAAAAGAAAGCAGCTGTATTTTCGATCAAGTTTAAACCCAAGGAAGGGTCTGGGGTCACGAGGCTCTCATGATCTGTTCCAAAATGAGATAATTGAGAATGGTTGAGTGCGATAAAAGGTTAGTTATTGAATGCTTTTGAATGGAGGAAATCTGAGTACCTAGAGGTGGCGTAGTTGAGCCTATAACGCTGCTGCTGTTGTCATTGCTAGAGCTGTTGTTGTTATTGTTTTCTCCCATGTTTAATGTTGGTAGATCTAACGTAGGTGATCCTATGAGGCTGCTGTTGTTATTGCTAGTGCTTCCAACTGAGCTGTTTCCCACGTCGGATGTTGGTGGATGTTTGGATGCATCCTCCTGTTCTTGTCCATCACAAAATGCTTGGTGAAAAGCGAAATGGCTATGCCTGCAAGATATAATATTTATGGATTGACAGATTGGGGGTTATTACATGAAAATTGAATTCATTGATGAGAAGATTTAGATGTAGAAACCAATTGACATCAAAAGAAGGGTCCCCCTAGAAAACTACAATTGGTAAACAAATATTGGATTTTGGGCATGGAAGATTGGAAGTGCAACATATATCGACCTACTGTATCACAGATGACGCACTTGTAAATTTTCTTTCGTAACTAAAATAATATACATGACTAATGGTGCTTTACGTGCCAAAAACTTAGTCAATGTTGATATATCATTTGGTAACATAGTCTTAGATCAACTAAAATTAGTGTCGGATCCGGGAAAGCCTTAGAAATGGTGTTTACCAAGTTTATGAAATCAATTTAATGGAACAATGAAGTAAATAATCCTTCTTTCCTTCTTAGTTCACTAACTATATGATTGGATTTTGTACCAACGTTTTTCCCTAGCCATGAATAAAGTTATGGAGTTATTGCTAATATAATAGAACTAATCAAAAACAAAACATATAATATTTCGAAACTATATATGTTTGATCGTCCAAGTGCATAGAATTTTCGTAAGATATATAACGTATGTCATGAGTTCAAATCACGCACTAGGGGCATTGACCATTGCAACTCCATGGCAGTTCAATGGGTGCGTGGCAAAAGTTTCACGCTCTCGAGCATGGTTTTCTGAACACGTATCTAAAGTTCTCTTGGTCCAAGCTCTCAAACTCTAATACACTCTATCTAAACCCCTATATAACTTCTAATGAAATTTACTTGGAGGTTATATCTAACAATGTTCAACATGTAATTTATATTTGCATTTCTAGTGGTCACTACCCTATTTCTATTTCAATCCCCTCCCTCCACCTAGAATATCATCAATCTGAGGTTCATGTTCAGGACCAAGGATATATTGAAGATCCCTTGATCCAAAGTTTGGAAGTAACCAGTCTACATCTATGATGAGAATGACCAAAAGAAAATATAAATAAAATGGACAACTTAACAATATGAGCATGTTTCAAGATCTAATGATGGTCCTAAATCTTTTCAAAAGTTCAGACAAGAAGTTCTGCCAAGACGATTAATCTTTTTGTTGATCGAATTAGAAATGCATCGACCACACGAGTAAGAAATAAAACAATAGCACAACAAGAACAGGAAAGGCAAGTCCATTCAGGTGACAATGAATGAATTGATCTTATGCTTGGTGCTCTCAGGTAGTCTTTGGCGATGCATTTGCGAATCTTTCTGTGGGCTTGGATCTATGACTTGATGTTTTCAGGATGTACTTCAAGTGGAAAAACCCTCACTACAACAAAATTGAGTTTATAGGATGCCTAATTTTTTTTTTGTTACAACAAGTTTATAAGACGTTTTTAGGTATTGTAACAAGTTTTTTAGAACATTTTAAAAAATAAATTGTCCTATTAGTTATTTTGTGAAATACTATTTGAAAACACAGGTCCTTTAAAAAGTGAGTTTATATAACACTTTCTCAAAAGTGTCCTGCAAAATAGTTAATACGACACTTTATTTTGTGAAGATCCTAAAAACTTGTTACGACGTCCAAAACTGTCCTATAACAAGATGAGTTTATATGACACTTCTCAAAAGTATCAAAAAAAAATAGTTAATATGACATGAAAACCCTACAAACTTAATTTTAGTTTTGAAAACACGGAGTTTTTTAATTTTACTTTCCTCCCCTTTCCTTTGTCCTTCATAATAGAGGTATTGAGAAAACAGTGAATTGTCGGTCGTTTGGAAGGAAAAAAGCGACAATGGAGCTTTCGGGATGCGAGGGCAGTATATATGCTTTTGTTTCATTAGCTCGTTTGTAGTGAGAGAAGGGTTCATAGAATTTTACAACTTCATAGGGAACACGAAGAATCATGGTGAGGTCTTCTCCCTAATTTCTCAACCAAGTCAGTTTTGTAGTTGGTCATTCAGGTTCGACTCAGACAGCCCATTTAGGAATCAATTAGAGCAATGAATTAAAGTAATTCAATACAACCAAAACATATAACTACACAAGATTGCAATTAATAAACCCTCTCTATACATACCAATTTCGAAGAGGCCGTTTAGATGAATGAAATCCTTTTATCAGAAAAATGGACACACAAAATTCACTAAACAATAAAGTCTGGATATTGTTTTTTTTGGGCAGTCCGTTTTTTGTTTTGTTTTAGATCATAAAATCTATACTACGAAAAGGAAATTAATGGAGAAGTTGATTGGAAACTCTACCTTGAAAACGGAGCGCCACAAGAACAATTGTACTTCTTCTTGCCGCAAATCTTTAAATGCGCTTTCAGGTCGCTCTCAACAGCATACTTCTTGGAGCAGCTGTTGCACTCGTGTTTCTTCTCATTACTGTGTTTTCGCAAATAATGTTTCTTGAGACCACCAAAATCACTTAATGCACGAGCACGGTTGTGATGGGCACAGGTGGGCACTGGGCATAGATACACCTTTCTTTGCACCACACCCCTTCTAGCCCTGAGCTTGAAAGGAAGATTGTGGACTCTTCCATGGAGTTGCAAGTTCTGCTGTCTTGGGAACCCTTTGTAGCATATATCACAAATGAACCTGTTTCCATCAGCCAGTAGAGTGTTGGGAGATACTGCTATTGCTACTTCTGTTTCTGGGTCTGTCCTCAATCAGACAAAAAATTTCCAAATAAGAAATTAAGCAATCATAAATCTAACAAATAAAATAAGGGTTTTTTCTCAAAATAATTAATGGAGAACTCCCACGTGGATATCTCCACATTTGGGGTTTTCATTCAATTCTAAGAAATATATGAAATAAACAATACAAAAGTAGTGAAATTCCTTCTATATTCTTGTTTCCCCTTTTGTCATCCATTAATGCAAAGAAGTGCAAGATATATATATATATCTTGGTAAAACAATAAATAATGAAGAGAACTTGCATGAGGGTCCATGTATCATGGTTTGATCAGCAGGAGCAATTAGATGGTGATGAAGCTGGGCTGGTGGTAATGCAGTTGGTAGAACGAAGTTGGAATCTTGTCGAGAATTCGTCATGGGATTCATATGATCAACTCCCACGGTGCCCAAGAACATTAATGGAGAAGAAGAAGATCCTGAAACCATCTTTCGGTTTCCTTCTTCTCCAGTACTACCTTCTGATGTTAATTACCCTTATTGAAAACACATATAAATCAGCACCTTTATAGAGAGAGCCAACAAAGGTGGTTATTGGACCTATTTGGCATTGCAGATAAGGACATAACTGAAAGCAAGAAAATATTCCACTCTCACTCTCACTTTTACTTCAACATAATACTATATATAACACTATATATGTGGGTCCGCGAGGGGTGTGATCAGGAATGTGACTCTAAAATCTACTGGTTCATGTTTTCCCCATCTATTACAACTCAGCCTTAATTACTTTATATATACATATATGTATCATCATCATCATCAAAAATGGCCCACACTTGACTTGCCGTGCATAGAGTTATTGTTTGTTGGGAATTTTTGGCTTTAAAACATATGAGATATATAAGTGGAGTAACCATGCCTCTAAAAGGGTCCAAAATTTGGGTTTAAAAGTGCTTCTATAAAATGCATTTTAAGTATGTCACTTTTTTAAGAATTAAAATATTTGAAAATCAAGTGGTGTTGTAATTAGGATGTGATTTAAGAGATTTTATAATTTTTACCCAAATGAATTTTATATTTGGAGGCTTCTATTTTCAAAACAATCAAACATATTTTGTCATTTATGTACAAGTGTTAATTATATTTACTTATAATCATAGCGTTTGTTTTGTTCAAACATAAATTTTCGATTTTTCTCAACGACAATTTGTATTGATTTTTCATTCTCGTTCGGTTTACAATAAAAATATACATCTCGTTACATCGTATATGTACACAACCATTATATGACAAAAGATCGTGTGAGAATAAGAATTAACGTGAGAAACGTAAAAGGAGATATGGACTCTTGATCACTTTTAATCCTATCATAATCCCATAAGTAATGAGTTAAGAGCATCTTCAATGATTATATTATTTTAGAATTTTTCTAACTTCCTTTTAAAATAGAGAAAAAAAAAGTGAACGAAAATAAAAAGATATCTAAATTAAAAAAAATAAGAAAATATTATTATAAAATTGAGAATTTGATGAACACATGAATAATATGAATTAAGACGTAATATTCCACCTATACATGTGTTTGACCCATGAGGGGTCGGTGCCTCCCTTTTTTTTTTATCTCTCTCTCTATAAGAATATTTGTACGTCATCAAAGAATGGCCCACACATGACTAGAAAAGTTTCTTAAGTTGATAAGATTTACCTCCTTCGTGATTTTTATTTTTTAATTAAGAGTGTTTTCGGTCTGGTTCAGATGATTAAATTCTTAAAATCACAAACTAAATAGTAACGGTGGCCTAGGAAATTTTTTAAACTGAATGGTTTGGCAGCAAATTGTCAAACCGGTTAAACTAGATTACAAAAAGACGGTTTTGTTTAACGGGTTTAGTCGGTTTGGGTCACTTATAAACTTTAAACTAAAAAATATAATGTTTTGGACGAACAATTTTTAATTCGGTTGTAAACCGATAAAAGTTGATATAGCATGAAAAGAAAATATAATTAATACTTGTGTATTTTATGTAATTTTGGCAGTTGGTTTGTTCTAGACAACTCAAGAAGATGTTCAAACCGTATACGAGAGTAAACTGAGAGTTTGGCTATTTTAGATTGGACTAGACCATTAGATCACTCAAACCGTCCGGCTTGAGTTAGTTCGACCGGTTTGAACGGTCCAACAATTTTTTGAATGTCACTGTCCATAACAGAGTATGAAGAATCAAAATTTAAAAAAAATACATTCCATTCTAACAACAATTTTAGGAATTCTAACATCAAAAATATTAATAAAATATTTAATAAATCTAATAAAATCTTATTTCTTTTTCATACATTATTAATTTTAATACCTCTTATTTGTAGGGAAAAAAAAATTAAAATACTATTTCTCTCTTCTATATAGTTTAAGAGATTTATCAAAATTTAGAGATTTTCAGGTGATACTTTTTTTTCCCTTTTTTTAGCACAACTATTGAAGTAAAAAAAATTCTAAATTTTTAAAATTGTTACTTTAGCATAGCTGGTGTAGATGCTCTATTTTTTTTTTATAATTTTTTTAATTTAGAAACTTAGGAATTAATATTTGGGAAAATTGCACCAAAATAAAACCATCTTTCACCTAATTCTTATTTTGGGGAACCAACTTTCAAAATCGTCATTTTGGGGAACTAACTTGCACCTGATTCCTATTTTGAGAAACCAACTTTCAAAATCGTCGTTTTGGGGAACTAACTTGCACCCGATTCCTATCTTGGGGAGCCAACTTGCAAAATAATTATAGAAAAATAATTAAAATTCGTTTTTTTCCAAAAATTAATACAATAAAATCTATTTTTCATTTTAAATCTCGTTTTTTTTTAATTCAGATATCAAATTGAACATTTTAAAAAAAATCCAAATTACCACAAAAAAAATTGTTTTTTACTAATGCAAAAAAAATCAATTTGATAGAAAAAAATTAATTAATGCAAAAAAAATATATTAAATATCACATTCAAGATTTTTATATCTAACCAATCCGTATCAATTAATTTTTTTCTATTAAATAGATTTTTTTTGCATTAGTAAAAAAATTATTATTGTGTTAATTTGGATTTTTTTTAAAATGTTTAAATTGATATCTAAATTAAAAAAAAACGAGATTTAAAATGAAAAATAGATTTTATTGCATTAATTTTTGAAAAAAAAAACGAATTTTAGTTATTTTTCTATAATTATTTTGCAAGTTGGTTCCCCAAGATAAGAATCAAGTGCAAGTTAGTTTCCCAAAATGACGATTTTGAAAGTTGGTTCCCCAAAATAGGAATCAGGTCCAAGTTGGTTCCCCAAAATGACGATTTTGAAAGTTGGTTCCCCAAAATAGGAATCAGGTGCAAGTTGGTTCCCCAAAATAGGAATCAGGTGCAAGTTGGTTCCCCAAMATGACGATTTTGAAAGTTGGTTCTCCAAAATAGGAATCAAGTGAAAGTTGGTTTCATTTTGATGCAATTTTCCCTTAATATTTTTAACAGATGATACATTTAATTACAAATAGATTTTTATTTTATTTTAAAGATTTCAAACTTAAATTATATTACAATTTTTTTTAAATTTTATCATCTTAATATATTTTTCAGAAGAAAAAGAATTTCATATAAAAGAGACTTTAACTCATTGTTATTGGTGAAAAAAAATAAAAAATTAATCAATGATAAGTACTACCAAAGCTCAATACTGCAGAGGAAATTAAATGAAGTACTCCGGTTACATCAGGTTTTAGAGAATTATTTAAACTTGGAGTTTTATATATATGTTTTCTCTATTTTAGAAAACAACATATAAAATCTGTTATAAAGAAATAGAGAACACAATCTTTATTTCTTTATTTTAGAGAATTTACTAGAGATACTTAGATCTGAGTGTGGATGTGTATAATGTAGGTTTTTATAAATATATACATGTGTATAGAACAGAAGGTTTATCCAACTATTAAAAACAAAAACATCAAGAACACAAAAAAAAAATATTTATATGTGAATAATTCTCTCATTGCTAAACTCGAAAAATAATTCTTTTGAAAATGCGTATATGAACCCATATTTTCTTACCTACATTTTTAGTTACCAATTATTCACATATGAAGATGTACATGTGAATTAACGTTTTCTTTTACCAAAAGTTATAATGGGTTGGGTTCCGGTGAGAATATAAGTTATGGTGAGAATAGTAAGAAAAGATCTTCTTCTTTGGATCAATCATAATTGAAGATCAACAGTAATGAGATGCACAAAATCAATTCCTATGAGAAACACAATTCATAGATACATAGGATGAGTTTAAAAGTAATCAAGGATCAAGATTATACTTCTCACCTTAATTATTATTGTACACGATTCTTTGTCTAATTACTTACACGACAAAAATTGTCCATTAAGATTTTATCATACTATAAGGGTACTCGCAATACAGCAAGATAAATCTCGATTTTAATGTTTAGTTTTTATTCTTTGTCTCTATTGATATAATACGATTTTATGTGATTTTGAGATAATGATAATGTTTTTATTTTTAAATGAAATATAAATTTGAAGAAAGAAAAGTGATATTAGTATCAAATTAACTATTTAATAGTTCTCATTTTTTCATTATAATTTAATTTAGATTTAATAACAAAGTAATTTATTCTTGGTTTAAAAATATAATTTTTTATAAAGATAATAATTAAACATTCTGTTAGAACTTAATGATTATCTTAATTATATTTTAGATTTTCTATATTTAAAATGAATGTTTATGCTGTATTTAATTGTGTTTATCTGCAGTTAGTTAAACGAATTTAAAAATGAAGATTTAATAAGTTGTACTTATGCAAAATTACTTGCAATCTTCATTTTAAGTAATATACATCAATAAACAGTATTTCATTCATAAGAAAATAGTTTTTAAGAGTTTTTATCAAATGCTATATAATATAGTATAGATAACAGTTTATTAAACTTGAAGGCTCTAAGCGAAATAAATTATATAAAATACAATTTATTTATTATGTATAATTTGACATTAATTTTAATATATTTTTGCGTCCATTTTTTGTTTTTCTTCAATTTTTTTTTGATGTTTTCTCCTGATTCTATTCCTATACGTATAATATACATATTATACGATAGAATATATATTATGATATCTAAAATATATATTATTATTATAATAATATATAAATTAATTACAGATAAGAGTTGGGTTCCGATGAAAAGGAAAATTGAGGTGAGAAGCGTAAAAAGAGATTTCCACCATTGCATTCACTTTAGGATGAGATGCATCAGATGAATCCACGTATCAAGCGCAATTAATGAGTGAATTTGAGATTAAAGTTGATCAAGGGTTCAAATACCTTCTTAAGCTTCTCACCTTCATTTTTCTTCTCGCACGATATATATATATATATATATATATAGAGAGAGAGAGAGAGAGAGAGAGAGAGAGAGATGAGCGATCAAATGAAAACCACCCTCATTTGTAAAAACCGTACAAACCACCCTTATACGTCGATTTCATTGTTTAATCTTATGAAATTTTTTCATGAAATTGTTTAATCTTGTGAAATTGTTTCATATAATATTTTTTTTTGATGAATTTGTTTCATATATGGTTATGAAATTGTTTCATATAATACTTTTTTTGATGAATTTGTTTCATATATGGTTATGAAATTGTTTCATATAATATTTAATGAAATTTTAATGAAACAGTTTCATGTATTTCTCTAAAATTAAAATAATCAAGATGATAATATCCATGATTAACACCCTACACAATAAAAATGGTTAATCAACCTCTCATAATTACAAAAAAATGAACAAAATAAAAAATTATGATTGGTTGAATAATGTTTTCACGGTTTTTACAAATTGAGTGGTTTTTATTTGAACGCTCCCCCATATATATATATATATATATATATGAGGAGAGGTTCATTTAAGAAATGATAAATATTTGATAAGTAAAGAAGTGATTCTAGACCTTCACACAGTCAAGATTGGTTAAGAATTGTAGTTTTGACTGATCAAGATTGTTTTGACTAGTCAAGCTAAAAATAGAGCGATAGTTTGGTAACTTTTATAAATAGGCGGCAAACAAGTGTATATGTGAATCCATAAGTGCATGTGTAAACTCATAGTTCATATGTGAATCAGTTACTTAGTTCATATGCGAATCACACGAGTTATTATGTGAATCAGTTAATTAGTTCATATGTGAATCACACGGGTTATTATGTGAATCACACGAGTTATTATGTGAATCACTTAATTAGTTCATATGTGAATCTCACAGGTTCATATGTGAATCACTTAATTAGTTCATATATAAATCACACAGGTTCATATGTAAATCAGTTAATTAGTTTATATGTAAACCAATTAAATAGTTCATATGTGAATTACACGGGTTCACATATGAACATATAGTTCATATATGAATCACATGGGTTTATATATGCACTTGTTTTGTCGCGTACTTGTAAAAGTTATGAAATTACTCATCCATCCTTTGCATACCATGCAATGAATTATCTGGTGCTTCACAGTCAAAGTTGTAAATCTTGACAAAATGAAGAGTTAGTATGACTTCTCTACTTCTCACACACACACACACACACACACACACACACACACACACATATATATATATATATATATATATATATATATATAGAGTTTATTTTGAGAAGTGGTAAATATTTGAAAAATAAAGAAGTGATCCTAGCCCTTCATATGGTCAAAGATCGGATTTGACTAGTTAATAATTATTGTTTTAACTAGTCAATAATACGGCTTTGATTGGTAAAGAATTGCGGCTATACGAAAAATAGAGAGTGTAGTTTTGTAACTTTTATAAATATGTGGCAAACAGGTCCATATACGAACATAAGTGATTCACATATGAACTATATGTTCATATGTGAACTCGTGTAATTCACATCAGAACTATTTAAATTGATTTACATATGAATCTGTGTGATTCATATATGAATTAATTAACTGATTCACATATTAACTCTTGTGATTCACATATGAACTAATTAACTGATTCACATATAAACAAATTAATTGATTCACATATAAACTTGTGGATTCATATGAATCAGTTAAATAATTTACATGTGAAATAATTAGCGAGTTCATATATGAACATATATTTTATATGTGTATCACACGGGTTCACATATAAACCCGTTCTCTGCCTACTTGTAAAAGTTATAAAACTACTTATATATTTTATGCATACCCATATGAGGAATTATGCAGGGTTTCACGGTCAAAGTCGCAAATGTTGACCAGATGAAGGGTTATGATCACTTATTTACTTAAAGTTAAATGTTATTTAAAATCTAACGAAAGAACCCAAAGTTTTAATCTGAAGAAGAAACCCAAAGTTAAACGTTATTTCAAATCTAAAGAAGGAACTCAAAGTTAAATATTATTTCAAACCCAAAAAATGAACCAAAGTTATGATATTGTATAATATTATTATATCTAAAAATATTTAGTATTGAGTTAATTTTGAAGGTATTGACAAGACGATTATAATAATATAATTTATAAAAAAAAATAAACATATTTTTAATGTATTTTAATTAATATATGATTATGTGTTTTATATGATAAAAATGTAAAATAAAAAAATAATCATATAAATCAAGTTAAATAAATAATATAAGTTACAAAATGTAAGTTTTAAAAATAATTAACTACGTATTTATGCTATTTAATAATATGATTAAGTTCAAAAATATTCAGTATTTGGTTCATTTTGAAAGTACTGTGAGACGATTGTAATGGTATAATATGTAAAAAAAATAAACATATTTTTAATATATTTTAGTTCATATATGATTATTTATGTTAATACAATAAAATTATAAAATGAAAAAGTAAGAGAAAAAAAACTCCAAGAATCACCAAAAAAATCAATGAAAAATATATCAAAATAAACATCAAATTAAGGAGGATAAAGTGATATTTTTATATAATTTATTTCCCTCCAATTTTCATCATATTTCAACCATTTTTGATTTAAAAAATAGCAAGATATATTTCAATTCTTTTAAAGGGTTCTCCTCAAAATGTTTTAAGAAGTTACGATTTGACCCATAAAATTTAGCACACTTTACATATCAGGGCCCTAATTTGTATGGTTTGTTACCGTTAGATTTATAGATGCTAAAAGTTGATGAAAATAACCATTTTTAACCCATGTTTTATACAATTATCATATTTTGATCCAAACTAATGTAAACGAAGCACAATTTAGACCTTTTCTAAATGTTGTTATATTTAGCCTTTAGGTGCAAGCCTATAAGAGACCTAACATGGTGTCCTAAATGACAAAATTGTCCTTATAATGATACCGGTGTGTCAAAGGCAATCCGAAACGAGTATGTGCTAAAGGTAGGTTACGATACATGTTTAACACTAATGATGTAAAATAACATTAACAAGGATCGAAAGGATTATCATCTTCTAGGGTTTTTATGTGTAAAACAGGTCTTAGTTGTTATTTATTAATAACCTATTTATCAACCAAAGTAGTTAAACTATGTTGTTACGTACAAAACGAAGTTACATATACGGGGAAGTACAGACAGAAGTTTTGGTACGTTTTCTTCTGAACATATCACGAGTTGTAAAAATAATTAAATCAAGTGTGTAATGCTTTTTTAGACGAGAAGGGGTTTCAGTAGAGGCGTTATTTCTTAAGTTAATGGAAGAATTCATTTAGGAAACAACTTTAAGTGTAATATGCCGTTTTTCGTGGTTATTTTTATAAAAGTTCTAAAAAGAAATAATTATGGCTTTTGTTCACCGACATTACAGAAAGGTAGGTGATCTTTGGTCACAAAACGATGACCTAAAAAGTGTTCTCACGAAAGAAGAAACGTGGGCAACGTTGTTTTTAAAGAAGTTTTGCAAGAAACGATATTCTCGAAAAAAGATATATTTTAAAAAAGCATTGAAAGTACATGTTAAAGATAGATTTCACCATCACAAGTAAACGAATACGTTAAAGGCCGAAAATGTTGGGTTATTATGAATAAAAAAATGATTAAATTTTTTTATAGTTTATGTGGTGGTGTCACAAGACCATGAAAGAAGATGAATACAACACATAAAACCATGAGATATTGAGCCTAGAAGCTCCATGTATTTCTATGTATATTTCAATTGTTCTGGAGTAACTAGTTTTACGTCTTATCATTTTCATCTCTACAAAAGAATTACTACACGACAGTTTCGGAAAGAAAAGCCCGCTGCTTACCTTTACATGAAGAACTAACTGGCCAGAAATACAGTGTTAACTGATTGTTTCAATCGTTGTTCCTTCCATCTCTAGACAAATCAAGGTGGCGATGCAAAGCAAGACTGGAATAGCAATGTTGAAAACAAATCATGTTAATGGTCAAAATAAGCACATATTTTGTGGTTAGCAAGTCTCAAACCTACAAAACAACAACTAACGGCTTAAAAACTATAGGCAGCGGTACCCCAGACTCCCAGGAGGTCACGAGTTCAAACCTCACCAACAACAAAGAGTGTGCATGAGTATTTGTTGTATATAAATATTATATATACTTCAAAAAAAAGTTAACTACAAAAAAAAGTTAACTACTAAAGGTAGATTTCACCATCACAAGTACCTGCAGTTTTTAGGAGCCCTCCAAGTTGATCTTAGTGAAGACTTTATGCTAGGAGGAAGAGCCATGAAGTTTTTCCAATCCTGAAGCACGATCCTAAGATCGTGAACTTTGTTGTCAAGACCGACACAGCAGTTTGCATGCATTGTGCAGACTTTGTTCAAGTCTTTGCTAGGTTCACAAAATCCACCAAAATAAGTTGTATCTAGAAACCTCAATTTTAAGTCAATGTCTGTCAGGATAGAATCAAATTTGATATTATTGAGGACATCCTGATCGTGCAAATCTGGATAGGTCGCTCTTGAAGAGTACCAGTACTTGTAAAACTCTATTGACCGGATATTGGACCTTACAAAACTGAACCCTCCATTGGCTAAATTGGTCGTTATATCTGTTGAGTTTCCAGAATAATGATCGCATGCAATCTGAAAATCTGCATCCGGATAAAAATGTGGGAAGGGGTCCCTGAGCCACATGACATCAGCATCCTGTAAGAAGGAAAACCAAAAGAATCCATAATTAAAAATGCAGAGTAGATATTATGACAAATCTGGTCAATTAGATTGAGAAGAACAATGGTAATGCAGTAGTGCACCCGAAGCATTTAAACATCAAGAGTGGCAAGGACTAGACAATCTAAATTACACATCAAGATGAGCATAAAACAGGTGCCAGAGGGTCTGGCAAACTCAGATAATCACTCCAGTCATCTCCCACCAACAATTATTGGGCTCCTTCCCACACCATATGGCCTGACAACCCTTTTCACTACTTGCAAGCTTCCTTGGACCATAATAAATCCGAAATCTTTATAGAGAATAGTAAACTATCATTTACCGAATCACTGATTCTTTGAATATTGTTTTAATCAGTTTGAACTAGTTCGCCCGTAGGTGCTCTTGTGAGAATTTGATTTTCTACTATTTTGCTATTCAGTTGAATGTTTGCCTTCCCAACATTCATCCTCTCCTCCTTTGATAAAGATGGTTCTACTTGTATATATGTTGCTCTCATGGAATTCACCCCTAGATATCAAAATTTTCTTTCATGAGGTGGCATGTAGGGATGGGCCACCAGCTTACTCCAAGAGGAAGCTCGTCATTCATTCATTGGGGTCTGGTCTGATTCAAACCACTTTCCTACAAGCAATTTCGCCTATCTAGGAGTGATAATGACTTCGGCTTCTGCAGATACTGACACAAAAATGTTGTGTTGTCTGTGCGTAAAATCATTCTCACTGGAGATGGCTCTTAATTAGGGTATTCGTCACCTGTTGACACATTATAGGAAGTAGATTCAAATTACTGATATCAGACAACCTCACCACTATCAACAGGCGGAAGTATCATGATAATAACAGGGACACTCCTCTGTCAGAGGTAGACCTGCTATCCAAGTGTGATATGCTTGGTGCAATGCAGTAGAAACACCTCCGTCCAGAATATTATTATCTCATGAAAGAAGCCTGCTGAATGGTCCTGAGAAATAGAAGTTAATGGCACGAAAGCTCAACTATCTATCACTCGGTCAGACATTGTCTACTCTGTAACCATGGTAAGTTGGTTCATTTTTACTCCTTACATTGTCATTACCTTTCTACATATATTATGATATCAGAAAGCTGCCCCATGGAAAGTAGATTGCATGGCACAAGAATCCACGCAGGAGGGTAGGAATTATTGCCAATTAAGTGCAGACAGACAAGTTGTTCCTATTACTCAAAAGTCCATTACCAGCTATAATGTATGGGTGAACATGGTTTCATAGAAAAAAAAAAACATACACCATCTCTTGTTTCACTCTAAAACCTGAATGATGTTCCTTGTGATATAACCTCGGCCACATGATTTCTGCATGTGTTTCCTACTAATAAGTTGATAAGTCCGTACTGTGACTCCTGGTTTTCAGTTAGACATAGCCATGAAGGCAAGAACAAAGTAACATATGAGATGACTAAGCACTAACAGAGTGATAACCACCTCATATGAAAGCATCATGGGTACAGGTGTACCATAATAGATCCTCCAACCATCCAAACTATCCTATATGACAGGATATCAATGAGCAGACAACTTGAAAAAGTCGCTATGGGATCCCTGATTGAACAGGCTAGTTGGACATGATAGTCGTCATGCAACCACTATCTTTTGCATTCACAGTGCAGAGTCCAACAAATGAGGAATTGCAATAACATATATCTCTTAGCATTAATTTCTGGTCCAATACCTATGCTCCAACTTCACAAGGAGGATACTTGTACAGGGAAATAATGATATTTTTACTTGTATACTCATGTACATAGACATGCATTGTCTAGGTTCATTAGGATTTTATTATACCTTTTATGGGTCTCCTGTTTTCGTCCCATGAGCTCAAATTGTATTCGTTTTCTATATTCAATTCATACTTGAACACTTTCAAGCATCAAGGTCAATGATGACTACTAAATGGCATGTGAAATAAGGAGTTGATAAAGGAAGATCAATCAAAGGAGCAGAGAAGGGGTGCTTCACAAAATAAACAGGCTTCGGTCATATTTAATAGCAAGACACTCATATCCTATAACTGAAGGTTTATATTTACATATAGTTCATAAATATGGACTAGTGGTCGGACAACATACATTTCAAATGGCTTACTCCATGTGACTTGTATAAGCTGCAGATTCCAACATTAACAACAAAACTCTTGGTAATGGTAATTGTTATACTAATGCCACTGACGTTGTTTCTATGAGAGTATCTCCAACCAACATATTTCTTAAAGAAGAAGAAGCATTGCAGGAGGGTAGGCTTCTCGATGTTAGTTTTTGATCCTTCAAGAGGAATTGTTTTTTTAGTTATGTTGTCCGTGTTTTCGCAGGGGTAAAGGGGGAAAAGATTGGCTGCATGGTAAGGACACATGTTTTTTAACTGACCGAATAAGTCACTAGCTGGCTCATTAAGCCTAACCTAACACCTCTGTATGAATTACCAAATAAGCCATACAGCCTATTAATCTGAATAAGTCACAACCGCACAGCCCTTTATTGTATCTTCCACATGCCATTGGCTGCATTTTGCCTAATTTAAATATGAGGTAGTTACACTGAGCAAAGTAGACAATGCAAGTGTCATTTAAGCTTTAATGCAAGCATAGTATGTGGCAGTGTGTGTGTGAGAGAGAGAGAGAAAGAGAGAGGATTACCGTAAAAAGAAAGTTGTATCCCATTTCAAGCACAGACCGTAAGAAATCAACCCGTCGCCACATCATCTTTAAGTAATCAGGGGTCATAAAATAGGCCTCCTGAGAGAAATCAACCCCCTCGGTGGTGAGGGCAAAGCAATGGGTGTGTACACGCTTACATCTCGCAAATGCCTTCTGATCTAGAGCAATAATCACCAAATGATTCAAAAGTCTGCTAGTTTGGTAACCAAACCTAAAGCTAGCCAAAAAGAGATCCAGAATTGAATTATTTGGATCTGCCCAAGCCTCATTCAAAGTTGTTAAGATAACTGTCTTGTCATGCATGGAAGCCTCCTTCAAGACTGTTCCTAGACTAGAATCAGCACTGTCCTACATTTGAGACAAAAGTTTTAATGAAGAATATGTTGTGTGCTACTTCACATGTAATAGCCAATGAACAATAATATTACAATACCTAATTACTCAAACACCAAAAAACCTTCAAAATTCCAAATGATAAGCATTTACTGCAAAATGAGTAGATAGTGACATTGCTGAAGTCAAAAAGATGAATATACTTATCTGTATAGAGCAAGTGTTAGGGTTTTCTTTTCGTATTCAACAATGGCCCAAAGGCCCGTGTATCCTCTATATATTATCTTATTCAACAATGAAATGAACACATTTTTACACCCCATTTAGATGCTACCTGAGCCATCACTAAGGCTGCGACCACCACACCTTTGTCTCCCACATAAACACCACTTCGTTGCCATTAAACAGCATTCAACGTATCATTCTATTCCAGCCTCATGCCAATCATGCCTTAAAAACACAACACCACTTTATCTTTCGACTCCAAGAACAAGACAAGTCCTGATGATGGAGATTTAACAAATTTTATATTTATAGACGGTTGGAAAATTCATCAGTCTAATCATAACCTCACGTTTCTTATATTACTCGGATGCCACTTCAATTTATGCATCTTCCTAGGATATGTGTGTTATATTAAGTTATGCATCCTTTATTTCATCATTCATTTATCATACTGTGACACTATTTGTCATCATTTACGTTTACATGTACATTTACAAGAAGATCTTTGGTTATTGTACAATCTGAAGTCAAATAAGCAAAGAATGGTCTCTATATCCTCTATGAAGGAAGAACATGGAGCAATCATAGACACTAGTTATGAAGTCTGACGATTAAAATGCTTGTCGAATAGTCTGCTCATCTTAGCATTCCCTCTTGTTACCTTGTAAAATGACAGCACTTAAGCAATAGCTATGGCCTATAATCAAGTGAAGCATTCTAGAAGCAGATACTTGGATTCTACTTTGTTTGAGAAAAATGCATAGATATATCTCCTTACCAGTCATATTCCATCAGAATATCATTTAAACTTACTTGTTTACAAAGGATTGGGAAGATAACTTTATTGGAAGTTGTTTCACATACTTATCTATCTAATCCACACACACCATCAACTTTAATGGGAGAGGGGAGATTGAAGAAAGTATAATGGATAAAACTGGACGGATGCAATCTGTCACAGAAGGAAAGTCATAATGGACTCTTGAAAAAACACGTAGGCATTCTTAGGCTGCTCAAGAAGTGGAGGAGGCACTGTTATGTGATATATGTAATAGCCAACCTATTTTGTACTATATAAACCTCTGTCACCACTGATTCAACCAAATCTTTTAATGAAACGGTGAGTTTCATTTTCAAGCTACTTTCTCTCCCTAAATCTAATTTTACTTTCGAAGGGAGAAAATATGGTTCAAAGTAAACTTTATGCATATTTTACTTTCTTTCAAACTAAAATATACGTCTCAAACCAAAGAAACAATCAAGGGCAAAGATCGAACTTTTAACACCTACTAACTGAAACGAGGGAACATCTTGGAGACAGATTGCGTGCTTGTATGCATATTCTCATATGCGCATTCAAGAAATGCATCATAAATAAATTTCATTTATACATGAGCACATGCACTTCCAATTTCTGGATTAAGGAATACCTGTAAAATTTGGCAGCAGGAATTTACTTTTATATACAATTTCCTACTAAAGAGTTAGAATCCCTTATCGAAACTTCCAGCATGGTATACAATAATAAAATGTTCTGGAACGATTTTCCCCAAACTGGGTTCCGATTTTGGAACACTCTGTTCCCGAATATAACATTCCCCTATGTGAATAAACGGGAAGTGCTCTGGCATTGTGACTGCTCACTGCACTTTCTATGATAATCAAATTGGCACCTATATACTTGCGAGCATAAAATCCTACTAGAGAATTTCATAAAGCGAAATCAAAACACCAAATTTACTGTTAAAACAACAGCTAATTATTTTTTATTTAAATAACGACTCAAAAAAGAGACTAACCGACAACGAGTGGAAGGACAGAGCAGAAGAGAACATGTCGGTCGACGAGACTAAGTAATCTGGAAGTCGGATCTGGCATGAATCAAAAGTGGTATTGAGAAGGAGATAAGAAAAAAGAAACGTCAGGAAGAACAAGGCGGTGGTGCGAGGACGGTGGAGCACCGTGGAGGATGTAAATTCAGAGAAGTAGTAGTGACGCAGCATTTCATACAAATGTAGTCAGAAATGGGCGGCGAGTGATGATATTCTCAGACGAACCACTGCCGCTCGTCGTCTCGTTTTCCGTTGGTTTCAGTCTCATGGACAAAATCCTGCCGGTTCTCAATGCAAAAGAAGTGTCTGAGCGAGCAAAAAGAGGGAAATCGAGAACGGTTACCAAAAAAAGCAGAAGAGCCTAGATCCATGTACAAGTCCATATGCGTAGAGTACAACCCCATTGATGCGATTAGATTTGCTTATTTATATAACAATAAACTAGGATTTTTCGTTCGTACCTTTTGTTGTTTATTACCATTTACATACATCCCTGATTTTTACTCATTAATTTATCTTTTTTAGGTTTCCTTATTTTTTATTAATACTATATTATTTGATGTGCAATTTTATGTTTGAGACCTCCAGACACTTTGATATTTGAAGTCCAAGTTTAAACCAATCAGACACCACTTTTGTGGTTAGTAATAAACATTTTTGAGTATTTGGATAAATAATTTATACCGGTGTCAAACCCATAATAAAGAGTTTTTAAAGAAGTTAAACATTTTTTACTTATAATAAGTTGATAAAATGATTTTGTAGAAAAACATAATTTATTTTAAATAAGCAAAACCCATGCACCCTCTATGTTTACTTGTTCATATTAGCCCCCCGTGGAGAGTGGAGAACATTACCCCCTTCTCCTCCGATGACCCTCGAGTCTCGACCCCTTTCCTTCTTTTTGTTGAATGGCCACCACAACACCAAACCACCTTCAACACCGACCACCACCTGCAGCGAATCCCATCGTCGTCGACCACCGGCAACATCTTCTCATCTTCCTCGAACTGTCATATGAGTTTTGAAATGTGAAAAGCTTCAATTTTGATGTTGATTTTAGGTTTTTGATTTACATTGATAGCTTCGATTGGATTTTGATGTGGATTTTAGGTTTTCGATTTTACAGTTATTCCAAAGCTTGGATTTCTATAAGTTATTTTCTCTTTGATTTACGTAATTACGTGTTGAGTATCCATGAAATAATCAAACTTGGATTTACGTTGCTTCAGCTTAGACCTAAAATGGGTTTGTAAGATTTAGGACTTAATGTTTGATTTTGGAATCTATGAATTATGATAGAGCTAGTCTAGTATGCGGTGGAGATAAGAAATTGTTTCGAAATGGGTTTGAGTTATTGAAGTCAATAATGCACTTGATGGTACACTGAGAAGAACCGACTGCCTTGGGGAAGATAAATCACAGGGGTAGTGGTTGTACACATGCTTCACCAACAAATCAAATATATACCGCCTTATAATCACATTTATCAAAAAATTTAAAAACAATTTTTAATACATAAAGTACTAGGGGCAGGTTCAAATGCGAACCATCCAATTCTTAAAAACCGTGTAAACCAATTTCGACCAATAAGAAAATTCCATTTATTTTTAATTAAATTTAATTGATAAGGTTATTTATGTCATTTTACATAATTTTTTGATAATTAAGGAAGTTAGTAATACATTTTATTTAAGGCAAATTTAATAGAAGAAAGTATGAAAAATGGTAACATTTCAAACTTTTATTATAATATATTATTAAAATCTTTATTTTTAATTATTTGCAATGCAATGAATCTGTTGGATATCTTGTTCATGTAAAAAAAATAATAAAATAGTTAATGAAATAGATTCATAAAAAAAATTAATAAAATAGATTCATGAAATAGATTCATAGCTAATGAAATAATGCATAATTGACTTTGTTCGTCATGAAATCAATATGTTGTAAGAATTTGAAGGTGAAAAGATTTCATTGCAAAATAATTAATGAAATAGATTCATGATAATGAAACGTTTTCATTTTCTTAACAAATTCGACATTAATGCACTACTTTCATTGATATCCATGTTGTATTGTATCTGAAGTTGATCCGTTCAGTTGTTAGAATAGTCATGAAACGGTTGCATAATTGGTTTTGTTCTTTTTGAAATATACATATCATGAAATGGGTGCATAATGGAATAGATTTATGTAAAATAGTTAGTGAAATAGATTCATGTGAAATAGGTAATGAAATAGATTCACGTAAAAAAGTTAATAAAGTAAATCGAGATTAATGCACTACTTTCATTATGATCCATGATTCATTGTATCTGAAGTTGATCCGTTCAGTTGTTAGAATGGTCATGAAACGGTGCATAATGAGTTTTGTTCTTTTTGAAATATACGTATCTTGAAATGGGTGCATAATGGAATAGATTTATGTAAAATAGTTAATGAAATAGTTTCATGTAAAATATGTAATGAAAAAGATTCATGTAAAAAAGTTAATAAAATAGATAATGAAATAGATTCATAGCTAATGAAATAATTCATAATAGATTTTGTTCGTTATGAAATTAATCTGCATGTAAGAATTTGAAGGTGAAAAGGTTTCATTGCATGTAGCTAATGAAAAAGTTTCATTCATAACATGTAGTATGCATAAAGTGTTATGAAACAATTGCATTAACATGTACAAAAAAGCCTGGAATAAGGAAACAAACAATTGTATAATTAAACATTTCCATAGTGAAATAAACTGAATTTTTATTTCAATAAACATTTCCATAGTATGAATGTTAATGATTGTTTACCGTTCTACTCTTATTGATGAAATAAACTGAATTTTTATTTTTTATTTTTTTTAATTTCCATAAATAWAGCMTACAAATCTTGACCATTGATCAAGAAAATGGATGGTTGAGATTGGTTTACACGGTTTACACAAATGGAGAGAGTTTTCATTTGAACGCTCCTCTAAAGTACTATACATTTATATATAAAGTCTTCAAAACAACTAATAATACATTAAGTAATATTACTTTATACATTCAATCTTAAAATCTCTTAATCTACGATTAAAATAACACATAATACAAATTACTAATACACATTATTACTTTTTCTTTTACAACTTTTACAAGTTTTAGAAACACTAAAATATGCACCAAAATAACCATTTTCATTTGGTAGTTGGTTGTGGAAACACATTTCCTGTATGAAAACATGCATCCGTCAAAACAGCGTCGTATTCATGTTACAAATTTTTTTAATAATTTATTTATTTTTAAATTATTGATAAAATTTATTTTAATTAAAAAAAAATCTTTTAAATTAAATTATGTTTTCCGTCCTTGTAACTTGTCAAACATTGTAATATTTGTCCTTATATTTTAACAAAAATTACAATTTTGATCTCTATAGCTTATAATTTATCATTAGAGTAAATTATAGATTTGGTTCCTATGGTTTGGTGATTTTTATAAAAATGGTCCCAAAATTACATTTATTATAAATTAAGACTCGTCGTATGCCGTTTTGTGATGAAGGTGTCTCTTCCTCTAACAACCATCCAATTCCGCTGTTAACCATGAAGGCACTTTTGTCCTTTTCTTTGTTTTGTCTGTACTCGAGGAACTAATTTTACAAATCACATACAAACCACATGGACCAAATCCATAATTAAATCTAAAAAATAAAAATATTATTTTTTTATACTTTGAATTTATTAAATTAATTAATTATTATACTTTAAGTTTATTCTCATATATAATTTTTTTTTCTTTCAAAATAATATGTATTATGTGTGTATATGCATGCACATGTGAGTATATGTATGCATGTTCACACACACACATATAGTTATACATAATGAGGTTCAATCGTTTAGGAGAAACCATATATATCGACCATTAGATTAATTGATTCAATTGGTGTAATTAATAACGTTTATAACAATATTTTTTAAATTAAGAAAAATCTCACCAATTCTATTCTTTATTAGAAGAAAATGAAATATAAACAAAAATCGAGCAAAAGAAATTACACTACACTAATTTATTTTTTTCATCCGTTTTTTTTTTATAATTTTCCGGTTTTTCATTTATTTAGTCTTTTTCTCTGAATTCAACTCTCTCTCTCAACACAAAATAAACGAAAAAAATTGAAAAACTATGAAAAAAACGGATGAAGAGATATATCAATAAAGATGCCAAATTAGTGAGAAACGTGATTTTTTTGTGTAATTTATTTTGCTAAATTTTTGTTTATATTTTGTCTTTTTTCGAACACAAAATAGGTGGGAACATGTTTTATAATTTAAAAAAATATTGTTGTAAACGTCTATTTGATCATATCCGTTCAATCGATTAATCTAATAATTTATATATATTATTTTTTTTCTAAACCTCGCTATATGTGTGTGTGCGTGCGTGCACACACGTACGTAGACATATGTAATTAAATATTTTTGGGAAAGAAAATATATTGTATATTAGAATTAAACTTAAAGTATAATAAATAATATATATTAAAGTATAATAATTAAGTAATTTAATAAATTCAAAGTATAAATATATTTTTTTTCTGTTTTTTAGACCTGATTAAGGATTTGGTCCCTATGGTTTGTGTGGACTTTAAGAAATTCGTCCATTAAGTAAAGACAAAAAAATGAAAAGGACGAAAGTGCCCTCAAAGTTAACAGAAGAACTGGATGGCCGTTAGAAGGAGGGACCAATTTGTTACAAAACGACATACAACAAGTCCTAATCTGTAACAAATGAAGTTTAAGGACCATTTGTAAAAATCACAAAACCACAAGAACCAAATCCATAATTTACTCTTATTATTACTTTCATCACCGAAGCTAACACCTATCTTTAAGTATGAGGGACTAAACAACAAAGCATTATATACCATAGGATTGAAAACAAAAATAAATTATAAACCATCGTGACTATAACAACAATAAATTTTAAGCCATAAGAATGGAATCGTTATTCCAAAAAGCAAACCACATGGACGAAAAAGGTAATCTACTCTTCTTTTTATTTTGCTTGTTTGTAATTGGAAACCACTTTGCCTTGAGAATATTACGTGAAAGACAAATGAAGTACATAATAACTTGTTATCTGGTTGATTTAAGAGCTTAAGGAACTGTAGCTCCTATGTTTCGGTTGCAAAACTCGAATCATGAGCTGTTTATGCAAGTACGTCATCTTAAAATCAGTTGTGCTTTATCTATATAGGTTTTTTTAAATCTTGTTTATAACAATATTTAATCAATAATCATATATATATATATATATATATATTATTAAACCATATAATCAACTTTTGAGTTGTTTTGGGATCTAAAATTGAAAAAGTTTTTAATCATAGTCGATATTGATAACAATTTAGATAGGGAAGTTATCATTTCTACGTTTCCAAATATATGTTTGAAGTGCATTTCTTCCGAGCTAACCCTACATTTCTTTTCAAACGGTAGCACAATTTGACTGTAAGAAATATGTATAAGGATTTTTCATAAAATCATCATTAGTCTAGTGGTTACTTCATTGTTTTTCATGTGTTCAAGTCTTCTATTACAATTTTTTTTTCTTCAGAAACATATTAAATCTGAAACTAAAAACTAAGAAAATGACACTAGATGGATTCAAACTCGGATTTGAGGTGGAAGAAAAGTCTTGCAAACCAACTTTACCAAGAAAAAAGTATGTTCTCATTGTAGTTTCAAAATATAATATGGTGACACACAACAAATTGATACGGTAACACATAACAAATTTTCGAGCAAATACACGGTAGCATGTGCCACCTATGGCACCTCTATGGGTCCATCCATATGATGGGACCGGATGAAAAAAAGAAGAGGAAATCTAGTTGTAGGTTTACCAAAAATTAAGAAAATTATAACTATTTTTTTTAGGAAACTTAACTTCTAACTCAAGCTAAGGGGCGTTTACCAAATGTTTATCCGGGTAAGTGTTTATTGAGATAAATTACCTTGCCGGATGAATATGACAAATACCAAGAATCTTACCGGTAAGAGCGAATGCAAGGACTGAGAGTTTTACCCGGTAAGTGAGGACGATGACTCTTACCATAGTTAACGCTTACCGAGTAAATTGTTGCATACAATGTCGTTTTGGTGGACTAAAATCTTACTCGATAAATAAGTGATAGTGTTGAATTTTACTGGTATGTGCTTAAGGAGTAAGTGTTTGGATAAACGCCCCCTAAGAAAATTGCTTAATTTTTCAAGATATGTAAAGTTGATAAATTTTTAGCAATCTAGATATGGTAATTAATATTTGTCAAATGAGATGGAAAATAAATTAATGTGAGTAGAAAGCTAGTGTGATTTGCTACGAATCAACAACTATGCCTACTCCATACAAGGAATCCGTATTTACTAACATTTCATAATTAAACACCGAGAGGTTGATTAATTTACGATTAATTGCAAGAATTTAAATTACTAATTAAACAAGTTTTGGCCTTTAACATATATATAATATCCAAATTAAAGATAATCAAGTCCTTCAATTACATCTATCTGTAGAAACATCCTCTATATGTTGGAGTCCAGTAGTCCGATCCGTTGTTCTCATGGTACACTGGAGGAGTACACGATATGGGAACCAAACACAAACCTCTGCTCTTTAGATCGACCTTCTTATCTCCTCTCTCTTTTGTTTCCAATCGTGCCCATGTCTCCTGAAATCCGAAACAATATTAGATCAACCCTTTTTCAGAATCTGATCAATTTGATCATATAGTAATTTACTAGCTAATAACAAGTATTCTCTGATCGGATTTTGGTTCTCACCTTCACGATATTTGTCTTCATGTATGGATTGCTCAATAACTGCAAAAGGAAATGTGCATTACATTAATTACTTGTTTTAATTTCTATTGTTTTGAGTGAAATTAATAACCATCTGTAAATGATGTTGTTACCTGTACTTGTTCTTGTAGACACTTGATATAACCAATTGCTTCCCATAATACTGAAGCTGTATCTGTCTGAGGAATCAAGGAAAGTTAGATCTTTTGGAGCACGAAAGGAAGATAATAACAGGAAAGATTACGCATTCAAGTTTCATATATACCTTGCCGAACGGTGACACAATCTGCTGAAGGGCTGTTATTTTTTCCTCGAGCTTTGGTTTAGGATGCTGAATCGTTATGATTTTTTTTCACAAAATGAGATAATTAATATTTAAAGAAACACCATATACATATGAGCTGGAATTGAGGTTAATTTACATGTCATATATAGATGGATATATATATATATATACCTTAGTTGATGAGACTGTAGAAGTTTCGAGCTTTGGTTTCTTTAAGAGTGATCCTGCAGGGTGATCTTCTGATTTCTTTCTCTTCCCTTCGTTAGCAACTCCATTTCCTCTTCCATTGATTTTAGCAGGTGTGTTGCCTCTTGGTCTCATTGGCTGCAACTTTTGTGATGAAACATGTATTAGGAAATTTAAAACCTAATTAAGCTATCATATATGTATGAAAAAGTGAATATGTTCAAATGCTTACGCGACCTATAGAAGTAACACTTAGGTGATACCGTCGTTTTTGTTGGATTTTAAAGGCATAGCGTTAAGGCGTAGCTTTATGCTAGTCGTAACAAATTTGTAAAGACGAAAGACATTAAGAAAAAACAACGGCATATATTTTATAAGATTTACGTTTATTCATTAGGGTTTATTGTGTCTTTTGAAAACTTGTCAAAATCATTTGGTTTTCTGTTGAATTATAGATATATACACACACATATATCTCGTACCCATGCACATGTATACAAATATACGGTGTTCAAATCTATCTGGCTCAAGTGGCTTTGCTTGCCTTTTGTTTATATTTGCCGATCCAAGATATATATATATATATATATAGAGAGAGAGAGAGAGAGAGAGAGAGCGCTCAGTTACCTGATAAGAAGTATGGATTGCCTGTTTTCTTAGGTCGGGTAAATTCATGGAGTTCATAATGGGTTTACTAGACATGTTACTCTCTGATAGTGGCTTGTTTAAGCAGCTACCAAAAGCAACCAAATCAGCAAAACCCCTTCCGTTGGCACATTCTAAATTCGGCATACCACTGTAATAATACTTGGTATTATCCCCAACAACCATGTTGTTAATCCCTACTTGATATTCCATTGGGTGACTACTTAATCCTCTCCGAAATAACCCCTCACGTTCAATATCACTCTCTGTGTGTTCATTCTTTATAGCTGTGAATTGCCCACTGTATTGATCAAACTGTGGACTTATTTCAACATCCGGGGGTGCAATCGACCAACTTGTTACTGAAGCTGGATTCTTACTTTGGTAAAGGCCATCGTTGAACCCACTGAAATTTTTTTCAAAGTGATGCAGATTTGTTGGGCTTGAAAACTCCCATCCGCTGTCTATTTTCTTCAAATAATCACACGCTGGTTCATACATCCGAGTCGAAATGTTCTGCAGTTCTCCGGTAGCTCCAACACCTCTACATATGTATAGTTCACTCATTATTACTAGAACAAAAGTTGTGTAAATGTTAATGAACATAGAACATACTTATATATATATATATATATATATATATAAAATGGATGTTAGGTTATATTAAAATAAAGTGGAAGGATGGAAAGAACAAAAGGAATCCACTAAAGAAGAAAAAGAAAACCTTTCTACAAGAACCTTTTTTTCCTTCTCTTTACTCAATCAATGGTTCATCATTACCAGATAGCAATAACCGAAGAAGAGTAAATCACCGATTGGACGGTTTTAAATTTATCATTTTTCGCGTAAGTTTGCCATTTTTTTTTTCTTTTTAAATGAGATCGCATGTGTATAATATCACATATTATTTTTCTAAGCTCGGAAATTGTTGTGTATTTAGTTCTAATATTGACGGTATCTACGGATTTAATTTACCCTACTTCTAGAATTTTCTAATATGTGCCTACAAGTATTCCGATGTCTTTTGATCCAACTGGTTTTTTAACCAGATCACTGAAACAATCTATAAGCGACTAAGTTGGATATCAATTAGTATTGAATCGTTTTCAGTTGATGTAATAATTAATTAACTTACAGTAAAACTTGGTTCCAGAGGTGATGATTATCGGAAACTGCCTCTCCGTAGGGATCGTTGGTGGATGATTTCTCTACAAGTTGTCGAGAAGACTCCATGCTGAGCCCAGAATTGTTGGAAGCGTTAGTCGTAAAAGAAGTAGAGATAGAAACATCTTCTTCACCACCAGAGCAGTTAGAATTAGGGTCTTGAGGATTGTTGCATGGAGGATTACTTCCATAATCAGCTCCACCACCAGTCCATGAACAAAGAGAAGAAGTATGAACATCTGGCCACCACCTTGCCGCAGAAGATGTTGCAACAGAGTTTTGATTGCATTGCTCAGCCATTATACACTTATCCATTGTGAAACTTAATTAAGCTGATGGGGGTGTAGGGGTATTTGGAATATAAAGGGTGGATAATATATGAGTGTTGTAGGTCTATTATGAATTTAAATCATATATCAATGTAGTGCATAGTGTAGACACTAAAATATATGCAACCTCAGTTCTTCCACTTAGATGGTGGACAATTATTAAATACCAATGGCTGGGCCAGCTTGAACTTTTAGTGTTAAAGTCTTCGTTCCAATTTCTAATACTTAAACTCCATTCAAATGGTGGGGGAAAACAAGATAAATAATAACCAAAGATAGTATATAGCTACAAAATTCTGTCCTGCCAATCGTATCGATCTGTCGAAAGTTAGGGATACAGCACAAACAGAAAGTGTCACGTCCATGAAAGCTAGCTAGGATGTAAACCGTTACCAGTCGAATCGTATGGAAATAGATAACATGCATATTGAACATCCTTAGAGTATCCACAATGCTGGACTTTTTCATTAGAGCTTTTTGTAGAAGAAACTTAATGGGTCCTAAAACAAAAAAACAAGCTTATTGAAAATTCATAACTGTACAAATGAAGAGGGGCTTTTTGTCCATGACTTCTTTACATCATTACATGTTCAGGTGACCAAAACGTCAACAAAAAGTTTAATTCTCCTAAAGGCACAATTGGAGGTGCTCTTAGGTACACAATGTGTTCACACCACTAAAAGCCATAAGAAACTTTAAAAGGTGACTAATTAAATTCACAATTGAAGCGACTTTATGTGTGACTCGAAATTAAATCCTCGCTTTGGAAGTCGGGTATATAAGCGACAAACCTTTCAGGACATTACAATAGGCCTCCTATGTGATTTCTATAAGGTCACCCAAGGACCAAACGACTCGTGTTCATCTCTCAGTACAAGCATCACCTCATACTAGATTTTGAACACGTTGTGTTTGATCTCACTTTCAGCTGAGAACTATACCATCTGAATTATCGATACAGTGGGATGAAATAAACTACTAAAGCAAGAAAAACGCTAGTTTGGCATACAGTAAAAAGCAATAGCACCTGACTGGGTCTAGGGTTGGCATACAATAAAAGATGAAATTCGAAGGTAGACAAACATTAGGTCCGACGAGAAAAATAGAAACTGAAACCAATGCAAGAAAAAGAAATACATGAAACTCGCATATCTAGATGAGTCACTACAACAAAATTGGGTTTATAGGACATTCCCAATCTCTAAGCGTCCCAATAGACCGCTTTATAGGACTTAATTTATAGGACCAAAATATAAAACGTCATATCTAATCTAAAGGTGTTGTAATAAGTTTATATGACGTTTTTTGACGTCTTAACATGTTTTTAGGACATTTTTAATACAAAATGTCGCATTAGCAACTTTATTAGACACTTTTGAGAAAATGTCCTACAAACTCAATTTTTTATAGGACATTTGTTTTTATAGGACAATTTTTCAAATAATGTTCTATAAAGTTGCTAATGGGACACTTTATATTAAAAATGTCCTAAAAAACTTATTATGACGTCAAAAAGCGTCATATAAACTTATTACAACGTCTTTAGATAGCACGCTTTATTTTTTGTTCCTATAAACTAAGTCTTATAAAAAGGTCTATTATGACGCTTAGAAATTGAGAGTGTCGACATATAATCCCGATTTTGTTGTAGTGAGTGATTGAATCACTTTTCTTAAGCAGGCAATAGAACGAAATTTGAAACCCTAAACTAAGAGAAAATAGAAAAACTCACATTTCCAAACGTCTCACAAATAGATAAATCAATCTTTTTCCATCCAAAATGAGAAGAAATGACTGAATATATTTGAAATGGATCATAAATTTATTATGAACCATTTCAAATATCATTCCGATATTCAAAACAAGAAGTTACAATTGATCAAATGCAAGTACACACAGAAGTCAACCTGCAGGAGTCTAAAACAGATTTTGTTTCATTAATTCTAAACCTCTTAAATTCAAGTGTGTAAAGGTCTTGTACCATGTTCACAAAACAAAAACTGGATAGCAGATCAGTCCACGGCAGAATATAGCATCTAATTATTCATGTACATGCATAATCACATCTAACTAACAAATGATTGATCGACTTTTCCGGCCACATGTCAACATATACATCTAACAATGGTTTGCAATGCACCATCCTCTTTCTTTAATTAGGTTGTCTCAAGAAGATAAGCCACCCCTAATATAATCCCTCCACTCCAATAGATGTATATTATTATTTTAGTTTGTCTCAAAATAAACGTCCACCATTAAAAGTAAATGTTTATTTTTCATTATACCATTAATTATGAGATGGAGAAAATTCCTCTCTAGATAATTAAGGTAAAACCGTCCATTGTTAATTAAAATATGTAATAATTACACATTCCTAAATTGTGTCTTTTTCATTGTGAAAGTTTATTTTGGGACCGGAGTAAATGACTAATTAATGTAGCCTAACTAAACGCAAAGACAATTTTTCAACCTAGGGAGAAGAGGCTTGTGGAAAGTAGAAACCAATCCCTTTCGGTCTGACTCCCATGAGGTGAATCAAGATGCACTATGAACTAAATAGTTACTAATTATCTAGATCAACATAATGTTGGTCATAAAATCAGTAGGGATTGTTGCTGCTTCATATGTGCTATCATTGTTCGTTTGTGTCAAGAGATGGATAAATGGAGCTATGGTAAGATCCTTCAATTAGAAACAAGGATCACACCAAAATGATTTGGAGCTTCTTGGCCTTGCCTAAATAATTAAACCGTACCCAAGTGCCATAAGTTACTGAATAGCTCTCCATATGGCTGCATTAGCAATGGAGTATTATTGGATGCCTCTAGAAAATTTTCATCAAAAGAAAAGTTGTTTCTTTGCAAGCATTTTGCATAAAGATTTCAGTATATACTGAAACCTTTGATGAAACACCATTAATTAAAACCTTTATGGTGCGTTTACTTTGCAAAATGGAATTTGGTCAAATTAGAATTCATCAAAGGAATTTGATTTTGAAAGAATTTGGTGGAATTTGACCATGCGTTTAGTTGGTAGGAATTGGAATCTTCATCTTTATTTGGGGGAGGGCGGAAGGTGGAAACTATGATGACAGTATAGTAGTGGCCTAATGTGGTATTGGTGGTCGGGTTGTTAGGAGTAGGGTGAGGTGGGAGCAGAGGGTGGCAGCTGTGATGACAACAAACCAATGGTGGTGGGGCGGAGTGGGTGGTGGTTGTGACAGTGATAAAATGGTGGTGGAGTTAGGGGCGTGACAATGACAATAGTAGTATGGTCAGATTGGGGCAGGGGTGGCGGTGTTAGGTTTAATTGGATGCAAACAGATGGAATTCAATTGCTTCACATATGCTAATGAATGATGAATTCATCAATTGTGGAATTCAAAGAAATTCAAGGGATTTCATCCATTTCAATATGTAAACCAAACGAAGAAATTAGAATTTGGTCAAAGGAATTGATCATTCCAATTCCCTTAAATTCCTTTGAATTTTGTGAACCAAACAGCCCCTTAGGTATCATAAAAAAGATTTGACCCTTCTGATTGACCAATGTTAAAAGGGAGAAACCATGTGCAAATTTTATTTTTATCAATCTCCATGTGCCTTTCATATGTGGCATTACTTAATATTACATTCCCCCAATCACCAAATTAAAATCGAGGACATGTGCATACTGTCTAGATGAACAATTACCATAGTGTTTCCCAATTCTTCATTTTTTACGGTTTTCCCTTGAACCTAACCTTATATATATATAGAGAGAGAGAGAGAGAGAAAGAATCGTGTGAGAATAAGAGTTAAGGTAAGAAGTGTAAGAAGAGATCTGGACACTTGATTACTTTTAATCTCATGATTAGAAAGGAATTGATCATGTGCATCTCGATACACCTCATTAGTGTTGACACTCAATTAGCATTGATCCAAGCGCGAAGATATTTTCTTACGCTTCTCAGTATAACTTTATAACTTGTCTTTTTTCATCGGAACTCAACTCTCTATATATAAGTCCCTACCTCTAAGTAGACTTTGAGTACATATATATGCCAAATGACTAATTAACACGCCTTTCAAGTTAGCAACATACAACCTAGAGAAGTTTTTTGATCTTGATACAACCGGTCAAAAGGTTCAGGAAAAGATATTGGATCTCCTGTATGTTATAACGTTAACCATCTCAAGATAATCCTCTCAACTAAGTGATAACTAATGTACATGCAACAACATCCTCTTATCAAGCATAGTGTCCATGAACATTTCTAAATATTTTTCATGTTCTAAGAAGCATTCATCCTTAGAGCTAGGGAACCTAGCTTGAAGTTATCCTTAGCCAATCATTAATTAATGGTATCATTAGTTGTAGCCAAGAGCAAACGTCATAATCTCATTGTGGGTTGCTCGTCTCGTTTTGTACCAGCCCTTCAATATCCAAAGACAAGAATACAATGAATAATCATAGCGTTCTACTTTAGTTGGAACATTTAATTTGTAACACTCCTCTACCTATCTTCGTTGAATGAACAACTAAGTGTAAGACTATACTCTTTAGTATTTATAAATCAAACTTACCATATACAAATCTTGGAAGAATATTCACACCCAACCCCTATTCCTTTGATTGTACATTGTCATACAAATCATAGTCAAAGGTTCGTATAATCACCAAGCTCATATTAATAGGAGCTTGACGATGATGCATCTTCTTTTAGATAGTTTTCAAAATCTTGTACCCAACATTAATTTTATAGAAATCTCAAGTCTTCAATTATATATATAGTTAGACATTGTACCTCATTAGGATTTTATATATGTATTGTGGTAGTGGATAGGTTTTCAATTCCAAGCTATCTCTTTATTGATGAAAACCGATTAAGCATTTGATACATACTTATGATCACCTCTATCGATGACTTTTTTTTGTGGATAATTAGAATTTTCTTTTAGTTGTATACCTTACTATGTTGATATCATAATATATATTCATCGATGATTGTTAGTTAATTGTACCATTCTAGCTA